GCCACAGATGCACTTAATTAGCATATTATAAGGACAGAAGTTTCACCTTATCTGCATTGTTAAACTGTTATGTGTAGGCTTTTTGTTGTGGTTTTAGAGTCTACTATCTTCAGCATATACAAGAATGATTACATTTACATAAACTCAAATGGCTTTCAAGAAAATGTGGATTGTATTTGGGAAGCAGAAGAGTAGGCACTAGACAGTAGCTACATGTCCTTATCATTTGCGGTTCATACTGACTGCTTGATGTGTTTCACTAAACCTCAACCAACAGATTTTTAGATCTGTTAGACACACTAAATTCAGAAAAATTTTGGCTCTGGGCTTCTCTGTCTAGTCTATTCTTATTATCAACCTGAGCCTACTTCTTCTTCCTTCAGTAGGAAATAGTGGAAAATATTTGTATATTTGACAAGGAATGTTTGGATTATTCAGTGGACACTTTAGAAACAAAATGGAAGAGTCAAAGAAAATACCTCACATCTCCTATTTTATCAATGAATAATGAACTCAGCACAAGGTGCTTTAGCAGAAAGAACTCAAGAGTGAAAGTCATTCAACACCAGTTAACTAAAGGCAAGTAAAGCAACTATTTAATTCTCTCACACCGGATATATCAGGACATCAGGTAGAATTTTAGAATTATGATGCTGACATGAGAATCACTCAAATAACTTGTGAAATAGCTAAGTATTGTTTGGAGGTTTTTAATGTGTATCTTACAAAAGATAGCCAATTGGAGGCAATGATGAATGTATAGTTTTATCGTATTTTATAGGACAGGAAAAAGGCTCAGTTAAAAGTACATTTGAGGGCTTCCCTGGTGGCGCAGTGGTTGAGAGTCCGCCTGCCGGTGCAGGGGACACGGGTTCGTGCCCCGGTCTGGGAAGATCCCACATGCCGCGGAGCGGCTGGGCCCATGAGCCATGGCCGCTGAGCCTGTGCATCTGGAGCCTGTGCTCCGCAATGGGAGAGGCCACAGCAGTGAGAGGCCCGCGCACCGCAAAAAAAATAAATAAATAAAAGTACATTTAAGAAAAATTCTAGATTTGCTAGTTCTCTGCTCAGAAAAAAAAAAAAATAGCACTTTCATATTTACTTTATCCTCAGGTGCTAATGCTTACAGGCATTTTTGATACTGGTGTCCAAAACCAAATCAATCACCTGTTCTGCACACAAAATGTATTTTCAAAGGAACACACTTATTCACTTGAATACACTTTCTATTTCCTCTAAGTTGAAAAAATTCCTGTAATTCATTAACCGAAAAATTTGAGAATAGGTTCCGAAAATAAAATTCATTGAACAGTTGTTCACTTTCTTTCCCATTGTAAATACTGACTAATTTCTCTAATTACTTCTTCTGGATGAAAGTACATTAGGTGTTAAAGTGCTTTGGCACTTTTTAACAGACCTAACTTCCTTTAGGTTACCAAGTGTCGCTACAATCTGAGTGAAGAGAAGAAGTAGGTATGGGTGGTGTGTGGGGAATAAATGGGGTGACATAACACTTCTAGATCATAGGATTGCATGGTAAACTGTGAAGAGGACTACCTGAGAAGCATACATGTAATCTTAATAAAACAAATGTTAGGACTAATACTCCCATTCCCATAATATGCTGAAAAAGAAGGTTTCATATATATATATATATATATATATATATATATAATTCATTTATTTATTTCTTAAATTATTCAACAAATCTTGACACAGTATGATTTCACCGTTGAAAAATAGAGGCAATTGTTTGGAGTGCAGATCTATGGTAATTATCTAATGATGAGAACTACAAATTAGATTTGCATCTGCAGAGTGTCTGACACATGGGGATACTGAGATCACTTCTGTCAAGTGAATGCATCCAGACACATAGCTTCAGTAGGCATACTTTCCACTACTAGTGTCATGGAAGGGAGCATGAATCTCAAGTTGGGCTGAATTTTAATAGCTGAGTAATTTTTAAATAAATTATACAAGCTGTAGTGCCTTAAGCCCCTCAATCAGATGATATGGATAATAATGGTCCTTGTAGGGTTGGCATGTAGATTTTATGTTAATCTTGCTATGCCTATTACATATATCATAACAATAATCTTCCGAGATAGGTATTATTTTTTTTTCCATTTTATAGTTGAGGAAACTAAGACCAAGAGGCTCAGTAGCCTGCCTATAGTCAAACAAGCACCTGAGGCAGAATTAAAACACAAGTCCTTCAGGCTCCCAGATCCATGTTCAGAAGCAGTATGCCACCTCCATGGATGCTTCACCCGAGGATTTTTATACATCTCAGAGAACATATTTGTCTCAACTTCCAACACCCAGATCTTTTAATTTACAGAATAGTAATATTCAGTAGAAGTAAAACACAGATACCCCATTACATAAAAACTTCAAAAGTGTGACTTTTCAATGATTAGAGCTCAGTTGAAATCAGAGCAAAAATACTCAGCTTGCTTCCAACAGATGGCAACAGAAAATATACTGTAGATCTATGGACTTAGAATTAGTCAGAATTAGTCTTTTTGACCCTAACGTATTTATACTATAGTTGGTTTCCATACATAGACACATAAGAAGATCCGTAATAAGAATCATTAAAGGAAATTTCTTTGAAAAATGTCAATGTAATTTATACTAAAGAAAAACACTCAGTTGAAACTTTGTGTAGAATAAGGTGAACAGCCTCCATTAATGCTAACTGAAATTCTCATATTCATGCATAAAATGCACACTTATTATTATTCTACACTTATTCTTTCTACCTCTAAACTGTTAAGTCCACACCAAAGTACTAGCTTTTTAATTTGAGCATTCATGCATGAAAATTGATAATTTTTCTTGTGATTATATATACAAATTTAATACAGTTGAAATCTCACTCTTTGCAAAACACAAGAGAGCTTCACTGTCATTTAAAAAGAGTGAAAACTGAATCTCCTGGCTTAAGTTAGGAATTTGTTTCAGAAGCTGAACTTTATCATTTCTCAGTGTTTGTCACTTTAAAAACATGCTTTTAACAAATAGGAGCACTAGTACAAGTGGGCAAGATGGCTGATAATTTAACTCCCATAATCAAACAAACAAACAAAATTAAATGAGTGGTATAATTTTCCTATGTCCACAATTACAATGACATCATATATATGGATACACACATAATTTTATTAATGTACGTTAGAAATATTTTTTGGCAAGTCTCTAAATACATGAGGCTATGGTATCATCTTTTTCTTTAAGGATAATTTATAAACACTAAGCTAAGAATTTGCTTCAGTCCATCAAGTCAAAACCTGGAATGTTAATTAATTTTAACCTATCTATTATTCTAAAAAAAATAATGCATGATCTTTCCAATAAATAAAATGAATATACGTTACTGCTCCTTATTCACGAACATTAAAAGATGGTGAGTTATATATTATTTCTTTGGAGGCAATTAGAAATTACTCCAGTTACAACTAAAAGTCAAAAAAGGCTAAGAACCACTCGTCAAGAGTTTTCACTGCCAAAATATGAATTTTGGTTTAAGAGCATCACAGATCTGAAAGAACTGTCTTCCCAGAATATTCCAGATGATTTGCTTAGGTTTTTAATTGAAGGATGTGTTGGATTGAGAAACCTTACCTGTACAGAGGTTGGCCAGGTCTACGAGATTTTTGAGAACTCAGTAAGGAGAAGTTGCTTTTGCTGCTGTTGTATATTAGGCTTCTCCTTCCACACAAAGCAATTCAACATAATATCAGCATTGCTGGCCATGGAAAGAATTGCTGTCACTCTTACAGGGATTAGAGAAAATGCCACCCAATTTGACATTCTATCACAGTGAGAAGTGGAAAGGCATTCATTCATTCATCCATTCATTCATTCAACAAAGAATTATTGAGCCTTTATTTTCTATATGCCATATATGACACTAGTGTCTAAGAAGGCAGAAATAATGGTCAGATGAAAAATAATAAAAAGATGGGTAAGGCAAGATTACTGGCTCTATGGCACTTAGAATCTAATTGTATAAGAAGATATGTATATAGTGAAGTAAGTTAGTAAGCAGAATGACATGCTAGTAAAAGCAAGGTAAAAGCAATGCAGAAAATAAGAAATATTAACATGTAAGCACTAGAAGAAAAAAATTAAACTATGAATTGCTACGTTACTATCAAAATTCGGACACCTATATCTTACTTTTCCATTATACTTTATCAGGAGGAACAATATTATTGCTAGTTAAAATAATTTAACTTCTAGACTAAGATAATTCTGCTCATTTGTGCAAATAGAAATGTAAAAGATAAAGCAATTTATGACTGTCTTTAAATAATATTAAAAGTAAACAGTATGTCCTAGAGAGGAAAAATACAATTTTAAAGAATGGGAATTAAAGCTTGTCTCATTTTTTTCAAAGCTGAGTTTTGCACTGCTGTTTCTTATAAAAATTGAGATCTATTTTTTTGTCTGTATCAGTTAGGAACATTTTTCTGTATGTATTAATTAGATACACTCAGACATATGTACAGTCAAACCGACAATATTCCCAGTAGGGGTGGTCATATATGATGCTCTTGGTGAGTTGAATATATTGGTGCAGGCCTCCTGAAGAATTATATCAAGCCAACCCTTTGACATTTTCCAAGTGGAGAGCACTTCGCAGGGCATGTCACAATCAATTAGATGGGATGGCATTCTATTTTTGCAGAGGTTTTGTGTACTTCACTACACAAAGAACTAACTAGCTGATAATGAAAATGCCCTTCAAATAAGGGCTGAAGGTTGGAGACTAGCTGCACGGAGGAGGAAGAGTCAGTTTCTTATGCCTATATTTTTTTAAAGTTGAAAGTGATTAACAGCAACAATTTTTTAGCTGAAAAGACAATGAATAACTTTCAATACACAGGCCAGAAGACCACAAAAGGATGTCTAATCAAAATATACAATCAACTTACTTAGAGCAAGTTGTAAATATTGCCCCTTAAAGTACCATCAAAAGTCAAACTTACCTGATCTACTATCCAGAGGTCCAAAATCCAAAGAATATTTCACGACGTGATAGTTATTCCATACATAAAGAAGGTTGTCCCTGGGATTGTAATCCACAGCTGCTATGTACTGGTATGAATTGGGAAAGGGTACATCCACCAAACTATCCTTACTTTGGTCGGTGTTGTAAATGTAGTCAATCTTATTCCCTGTGGCCTCATTGTCATCATCCTCATATACAGATTTGACCACATACAGAATCCCACATATCATAAATGCGTTGGAAGCTGACCTTTTATCATATGCAGTATCCCATGTCCCTTCAATCCGTAGGGTGTAAGGGTTCAACTGACTAATGACAATTTTACCATTGTTTTGTTCTGTTGCATAGATTACCCATAGCCCATTCTCATCCACTGCCAGGTCTATGTCAGATTTGCCTCCCCAACGGTAAGGGGAGGTATCATGGTAATTGGCATTTGCTATGATAGCCTCTCCACTCTTTATCCTAGTCCGCAAATCAAACTTTACTATGTTCCTGGTGCGCTCTTTATTGAAGAACAAAGCTCCGTCATACACTACAAATCCTGTGCCATCCACCCTGTGAGGGAGCTTGTAGGTTGTAGTTGGCCTTCCAGCAATGAAGTCATCCTTGGATGAGTACTCAGTCAGGGTATCAGTTCTGTAGGGGGTCCAGGGCATATAATAAATCTTGTCAGAAGCCTGCAGAGGGTCTTTGCACCATGCCCCAGATTGGTGGTCGGACTCAAACAAATGTTCACTCTGGTATACTCCTTTTAGTAGTCCAGGACAAAGAAAAACTGTTGGAAGGGAAAGAGTCAAAATAATAAATGTATTAATTTTAATATTTTGTCATATATTCTTATTTTTCACCAAATGGAATTCAACTCTAACAAGAAATACCCACCACCACTTAATTATTTTGCTGTATCCTTCTGGGAACATAAAGTAGTCGTCCACATTAATTGTGACATTTGTTCATAATCATTTTGATTTCATTTGCTGAAAAACTTTGGCCTTTTAAAGAGTGGCTGTGCTTTCCTTTGCTCTTTACCTTTGCAAGTGTCTTACAATAATTTTGGATATGTATATATATAAATGTGACTTATGTCTATGTATTCTATAGACATATAACAAATATAAATTTTTATATGTGATGGTTTTATATATCTTAATTGGAATTTTTAAAGAAATTGTTTTCATTCTGATGCTATTAACTATCCTATACTTATTAAGAAGCATATGGAAATACAATAGTAATTAAAATATAATAATAAGGGAAAAGAAAAGCCCTGTAATACAGGCCACTGAGCCTTCTAGGTAAAAAGCTCTTAAAGCTGCTATAGCACACACAGAGCATGCAACCCACACAATTAAAAATGAGTGATGGATGGATACTGGAAGGAAAAAGAGAAAGGAAGAAAAAGAAAGGAAAGAAGGAATAAGGAAAGAAGAAAAGGTGAAAGGTTACAGAGAAGAACCCAAGATCTAGATTTTAATCAGTTAAAAATGTCCTGTTAAATACAGTAGTATTGGAACTTAAAAACATGTACCTTTTACTGTTACATGAGAAGAACATTAAAAAACAAGATTACTTGCTACAATATTTTGCTGCTCATACTTCAGACTGAAAATGGGCAGGAATTATCTGATTCAGTTGATTTTTAGTATGATTCAGTAGCACATCATATGAGTGGTGGTTAAAAAAAAAAAAAAAAAAAAAACTTGGCCGATTCATCTGTAATGAAGGGGCTAAAAAGCAATGTTTCCCAAAGGGAGGTCATTGAAGCACCTGTTTTAAGTGGTTTAGCCACATATTACACAGAAAAAAAACAGGGATCCCTAGCCATCTGTGTTTAAGAAATATCATATGAAACATAATACCAGGATTCTAATAGCTGAGGTACATTAGTGAATCTCCAAGATGGAAGTGGGGAGGGTGACCAAATTTCACAAACTAATTTGATCATGGAACCCTTTCTACAGAGCCTGATGGGGTGTAATGTTCTGCTGAACCTGCTATGGGAAACAGTGCTCCAATATTTTTGCAGAAAAAACACATTGAAAAATAATCATGCAGTCCACTGTTATGTCTGAAATGATTAGAAGTGTATTGGGAGGAGAAATTAGGAAATCACAAGAAATTTGGATGTTGACCCATATTTTAATGATTAAAGTATTATTCTCTTGGTATTAGTGATTAGCTCTTTAACAACAACTATAAACCTACATCCAATGGAAAATAATCTAAGATGAAACTCAGCTAGGGTTTACAGATTATTAAAAAGGAAAGTACATTATTAAAATGCCCAAAGTTTTAATTTTGGAAAAATGAAAAGTTTAGGGGAAAAGTTAACTATCAAAATCTTCCATAGCAAGGATAGAGGGCCATCATCAAATTATACTCGATAATAAAATTGATTATTAGAAGAATTTCTCAGGATTCTAATATGATGTCTATAATTATAAACGATGGGTAGGTATTATTGTCAAAATTGTATATAAACTTTATGCTAGTTAATAATCAGCCCTTGGTTACTAAAGCAATTTATTTTAAGGTATTTTAGAAAACCACCTCCCCTTTTCCCCTAATAGTTAAAAATTAAAGGAACAGGGGAACCACACCAGAGCTATGGAAAATTATCTAGTATAGAAATAAAAACAAATCTAAAGCAGTTACTATCCAAAACCATCTACTGTTTTTCTAACTGCTTAAATAAAGAGGAATAGAATGCACGGTTGAAAATTTTACACTGTTAAACTGTTTTAGGATTAAAAAAATCAAACCAGCACTGGTCAGTACAACAGACTAAAGTGAAGTTGAGCAGCAGAAATAGTAAATAAATTTTCATAAAATAGATAAGAATTAATAACAAAATTATTTTAACTAGATGTTAAACTGTTAAATAACTTAGCCTATAAATAGTATATAATTTATGAAAGGTATTTAATTACCTTTTTGTTCCACTTCTATTGGAGAGAGAGAAGTAAAGAGAGAGAGGAGAAAAGAGAATAGATTAATGGTACGATATTGGCCAAGCACTTTTTATTCACCTCTTCCAAACTGAAAGTAAATAATTTATTTCACTCATACTTGCTTTATTGAACATTATGTTTTTTTAAAAAACCCATTCCTCTATAAAATTATTTTTAAGAAACAATCACATTATAAGCTTAAAAATACAGTACAAACTTGGAAAAAATAAGGCAAAAGTTAATCAAGCTAAGACTGAATAAACATACCATTCCAAATTATAGACATAGGGAATACAATATTCATAATAATAACACAAATATATTCCATGTGAAAGACAGGTTGGTAACTATACATAGAAAGCTTTTAGATAGCTGGGATAGTCTCATTTATTAAATATTATAGTTTATATCACTATTTAACATAATAGTCTTGCTTTTTACCCATCTCAAAAATTGATGTCTTCAGAAGAAACTACTCTGTAATTCATTTCCTAAGGCCTAATATTTTCTATAAGTTGTCAGTATTATGAGAAATGTACTTCATGGGGTGACACATTAACAGGGAATGATCTAATTCTGAATAAACATATTTAGAATCTTTATTGAAGAAAGTTCTATTCCTCACACTCAACAATATTTTATATTATTGTGGAAAAATACCATCTTTCAGAAAAATCTGTATCTGAAGGTTGATATAAATAATAAGCCACCTGCCCTGGGCTTTTCTGAAATTCCTAAGTGAGCCTTTCAACAAACTCTTAAAAGAATAAATTGGTATCCTCAAACACGTTATGGTTATGTATCTTTCAAATTAGATTCCATTATTATTTTAAGATATTGACTAATACAAGTCAGGGAAAATTCAGGGAAATTATAATATATTCATGAAACTCATCAGGCAGCATCTTCTTTATCTTATAAACATTTGTCTCATTGGAGACAATTTGCCTAGATCACAACAAGAAAAAAAAAAAGAATCAATGGGAAAAAAGAGTCAGGAAAGAATGGGTTCATAATACAAACTTTGAAAAAAAATCACAGATTTCAAGTGATACAAATCTAAGATAATTTCAGTGGAAGGGATAAATTGAGCTACTATGCACAATAAATAAAACTACAGGAAATTCTTAAAACAAGGGAGAAATACCATTTTGGATAGTTACTTTTAGGTGAGATTTTTGTGCATTGACCTAAGCTCATGTCTTCAATTGTTGGCAAAATCACACTCATTTCTCTCCACTGACTTTTTTTGAAAGCTCAGTATCACACGTGTTAGAAGACAAAAATGGAATATATGAAAAGTTATGCTTAGGAAGTTGTAAATGGGGTTCTCCTTTTAAGATTCCTTATCTCATTAATTTACAAATCTTATTTTTAGCAATATTTCTAGGACTCTTAAGAACTCTATGATACTTATACTGTTAAAATTTATCATCATCCTCAATTATGGATCTTTATCAAGTAACTGTAGTGTTCACTGGACTGTATGCCTCATTATAGGTCAGTTAAAAGCTTTACCTAAGAGATGCACTTCATGCTATGGCTAGATTAATAACAAACCTGAGTTCAGACTGACAACTAGAAGAACCATAACTAAGCACCTTAAAAATTATTTAATCAGAAGAGCTTCAAGATGGCGGAAGAAGAAGATGTGGAGATCACAGGACATATTTAGAGTGATGAAAGGGAAAAACCTACAACCAAGATTACTCTACCCAGCAAGTATCTCATTCACATTCGATGAAGAAACTAAAACCTTTACAAAGCAAAAGCTAAGACAATTCAGCACCAGCAAACCAGCTTTACAACAAATGCTAAAGGAACTTCTCTAGGCAGGAAACACAAGAGAAGGAAAAGACCTACAATAACAAACCCAAAACAATTAAGAAAATGGTAATAGGAACATACATATAGATAATTACCTTAAGTATAAATGGATTAAATGCTCCAACTAAAAGACACAGACTGGCTGAATGGATATAAAACAAGACCCATACATATGCTGACTACAAGAGACCCAGTTCAGACCTAGGGACACAGACAGACTGAAAGTGAGGAGATGGAAAAAGATATTACATGCAAAAGAAAATCAAAAGAAAGCTGGAGTAGCAATCCTCATATCAGACAAGTAGACTTTAAAATAAAGACTATTACAAGAGACAAAGAAGGACACTCCATAATGATCAAGGGATCAATCCAAGAAGAAGATATAAAAATAGTAAATATTTATGTTCCCAACATAGGAGCACCACAGTACATAAGGCAAATATTACCAGCTATAAAAGGGGAAATCAACAGTAACACAATCATAGTAGGGGACTTTAAAACCCCGCTTTCACCAATGGACAGATCATCCAAAATGAAAATAAATAGGAAACACAAGCTTTTAATGATACATTAAACAAGATGGACTTAATTGATATTTATAAGACATTCCATCCAAAAGCAACCAATACATTTTCTTCGCAAGTGCTCATGGAACATTCTCCAGGATAGATCATATCTTGGGTAACATATCAAGCCTTGGTAAATTTAATAAAATTGAAATCGTATCAAGTATCTTTTCTGACCACAACACTATGAGACTAGATATCAATTATAGGAAAAAAATCTGTAAAAAATATAAACATATGGAGGCTAAGCAATTCACTACTTAATAACCAAGAGATCACTGAAGAAATCAAAGAGGAAATCAAAATATACCTAGAAACAAATGACAGTGAAAACACAACGACCCAAAACCTATGGGATGTAGCAAAAGCAGGTCTGAGAGGGAAGTTTACAGCAATAAAATCCTAACTCAAGAAACAAGAAACATCTCAAATAAACAATCAAACGTTACACCTAAAGAAATTAGAGCACAAAAAAAAAAAAAAAAACAAAGTTAGCAGTTAGCAGAAGGACAAACATCAGAGAGATCAGATCAGAAATAAATGAAAAAGAAATGAAGGAAATGATAGCAAAGATCAATAAAACTAAAAGCTGGTTCTTTGAGAAGGTAAACAAAATTGATAAACCATTAGCCAGACTCATCAAGAAAAAAAGGGAGAAGACTCAAATCAATAGGGTTAGAAATGAAAAAGGAGAATAACAACTGACACTGCAGAAATGCAAAGGATCATGAGAGAATACTACAAGCAACTCTATGCCAATAAAATGGACAACCTGGAAGAAATGGACACATTCTTAGAAATGCACAACCTTCTGAGACTGAACCAGGAAGAAATAGAAAATATGAACAGACAAATCACAAGCACTAAAATAGAAACCGTGATTAAAAATCTTCCAACAGACAAAACCCCAGGAGCAGATGGCTTCACAGGTGAATTCTATCAAATATTTAGAGAAGAGCTAACAGCTATCCTTCTCAAACTCTTTCAAAATATAGCAAAGGAAGAAACACTCCCAAACTCATTCTAAGAGGTCACCATCACCCTGATACCAAAACCAGAGAGAGATGTCACAAAGAAAGAAAACTACAGGTCAATATCACTGATGAACATAGATGCAAATATCCTCAACAAAATACTAGCAAACAGAATCCAACAGCACATTAAAAGGATCATACATCATGATCAAATGGGGTTTATCCCAGGAATGCAAGGATTCTTCAGTATATGCAAATCAATCAATGTGATACACCATATTAACAAATTGAAGGAGAAAAACCATATGACCATCTCAATAGATGCAGAAAAAGCTTTTGACAAAATTCAACATCCATTTATGATAAAAACCCTTCAGAAAGTAGACTTAGAGGGAACTTACCTCAACAAAATAAAGGCCATATATGGCAAACCCACAGCCAACATCGTCCTCAATGGTGAAAAATTGAAACCATTTCCTCTAAGATCAGGAACAAACCAGGGTTGCCCACTCTCACCACTATTATTCAACATAGTTTTGGAAGTTTTAGCCACAGCAATCAGAGAAGAGAAAGAAATAAAACGAATCCAAAACAGAAAAGAAGTAAAGCTGTCACTGTTTGCAGATGACATGATACTATACATAGAGAATCCTAAAGATGCTACCAGAAAACTACTAGAGCTAATCAATGAATTTGCTAAAGTAGCAAGATACAAAATTAATGCACAGAAATCTCTTGCATTCCTATACACTAATGATGAAAAATCTGAAAGTGAAATTAAGAAAACACTCCCATTTACCATTGCAACAAAAAGAATAAAATACCCAGCAATAAACTTACCTAAGGAGACAATAACCTGTATGCAGAAATCTATAAGACACTGATGAAAGAAATTAAAGATGATACAAATAGACGGAGAGATATACTATGTTCTTGGAGAGGAAGAATTAACATTGTGAAAATGACTATACTACTTAAAGCAACCTACAGATTCAATGCAATCTCTATCAAACTACCACTGGCATTTTTCTCAGAACTAGAACAAACAATTGCACAATTTGTATGGAAACATAAATCACCCTGAATAGCCAAAGCAATCTTGAGAAAGCAAGAGAGCTGGAGGAATCAGGCTCCCTGACTTCAGACTAAACTACAAAGCTACAGTAATCAAGTCAGTATGGTACTGGCAGAAAAATAAAAATATAGATTAATTGAACAGGATAGAAAGCCCAGAGTTAAACCCATGCACATATGTTCACCTTATCTTTGATAAAGGAGGCAAGAATATACAATGGAGAAGAGACACCCTCTTCAATAAGTGGTGCTGGGAAAACTGGACAGGTACATCTAAAAGAATGAAATGAGAACACTCCCTAACACCATACACAAAAATAAACTCAAAATGGAATAAAAATCTAATTGTGTAGGCCAGACACTATAAAACTCTTAGAGGAAAACATAGGCAAAACACTCTATGACATAAATCACAGCAAGATCCTTTTTGATCCACCTCCTAGAGAAATGGAAACAAAAACAAAAATAAACAATGGGACCTAATGAAACTTAAAATCTTATGCACAGCAAAGGAAACCATAAACAAAACGAAAAGACAACCCTCAAAATGGGA